ATTATTATTCTGGTAAATAAGGATTTTTTTTCATATGTGTATTTGCTGTTTAGCAAAAATAGCTACTATAGTTATTAATGATGTCAGCTTGTTTGTATACAATTTATAACACACCTATTAGAAAACTATGAAAAATAGTATAGTCATAGTAAGAGTCAGTTTCCAAGTCCTTTTTTTTGTTTGTTTGCTGACTTTGAATCATAATTGAACTGGATAGGGGTTTTTAAGTAGCACTTTCCTACTATATGTTAAAGGTTGGTAGTGTTCTGAGTCCACTGCTGAGAGAGACTTCGGGCAAAGTTCAGATTACTAACACTGACAGGACTACAGCTGAATCCAAACTGGTTAATTCTGCTTACTGGAGATTTCAGATCTTTTTTTCGTGATTTTGTTACCAGTTTGTTTAGTGTAGCTCACCCTGGAGCATGATGGCTGTAACCTCGCCTGAGGGCTGGTCTAGCACATTTGTTGAAAGTGCTTTCTGTCACTTGTAGAAGTCTTGTGGAAAATTTCTACAGGTCAAACCCCAGGCTGAAGACAGTGATTGACTTCTGGAGACCTTTGTGAGGTCTGCAAATACTTGAGAAGGGATAGTGGGGAGATGGGGAAAGGGCTCTTTACATTAGTGATGGGTGATAGGACAAGAGGAAATGGGTATAAGCTTAGTCAGGGGAGATTCAGGTTGGATGTTAGAAAGAATTTCTTCTCTGAAAGGTTTGTCAGCCACTGGAATAGGCTGCTCAGGGAGGTGGTTGAGTCCCCATCCCTGGATGTGTTTAAGAAAAGGGTGGATAAACGACTTAAGGATATGGTTTAATGGGAGATTAGGGACAGTTGGGCTGGATGATCTCTAAGGTCTTTTCCAACCTAGAAATCTATGAAATCTATGAAATGCCACCTTGACAGAATTAAGTTGATCTTCTCCTCAAGACTGCCTCATGTGCTGCGTTGTGTTCTAGCCAAGAAGGGAACTATCTGGTTCTCCTCACCTTAACTGGTGCCAACTCTTCCCTCAAGTGGCAGTGGTTGGGATTGGGAGTGGCAGGGTGCTGCGGTGAGGGACTTAATCTTGCTTCTCTAGACACGCATGACGTGGTTCTGTAAGTATGCTGAATGAGGAAAACCGCTCCACATTTGCAAATCCCAAATTTGGAAAGAGGAACTCTGATTGTTCTAGTCCAGAGCAGTATGCTATCAGTTTACAATAAACAAAGCAGATAAGGAAATGCTTACAAACATTCCTTATTTACCGTTGTAGTAAGAGAGTAGGGCTTATATAAGGCCTCAGGTTATCCAAAATCCTTCCAAATGTTCCATCCTGTTCTGAATTAATCTGTCTGTGGGAGCTTTGCTTCTCGGTCACATCTGTAGATGAATCAAGAGAATTGTCCTAAATGTCATTAAGTCTTTATAGCAGCTGCTTTAAAAGGAAAAAAAAAACCCACTACACCAAACAACAAAAAAGTGCAAACCTCAACCGAATCGGCACCAAATCCTAGTTTCATCCTCTTTACTTTCCAAATTAACTCTTAATTCAGCTCAAGAAATATTAATCATGCATCCTAAGCATGCAGTCTAGCTTTTCAATTAAAGCTTTATAAGCTTTTAATGACAAAGCAGTGAAATTACCCATTGACAATGAGTGTGTTCAGCTTTCTCCCAGGTTTCCCGACCTCAAGTGATCTGCCTCTGCAAGCTTGGAGAGTTGTGTCCTGGAGGCACCGAAGTTAAATTGTCTGTAAAGACAGAAAGGAATCAGCCAGGCTTTGTAGGGCTCCGGTTACCAGGGAGCCAGCGACTGTTAACTCTTTGGAAGTAGTGCAGCCTGTGTGGGAA